TGCCCAGCCGTTGCCATTCTCGGCTTCATCTTGCTAATCCCAGCATAATTAAACCCCTAAACCTGGTTTGTGGGGGATATTGGAGGAAAAACAAAATGTCGGATCAAGGAGAGAAAGGCTTCAGGAGCCTTCAAAGAAACGACTTAGGCTGATCCAAAACCTTCTGAAATTCTCCCCATTGTTTTCCTGTCCCCCCCCCAAGTATAATCTCCAAAGGGGGAAAGGGAACTGATGCCAAGGAGGACACCCCCCCTTTGCTAAGGGGAGGGGGGCAAAGGCAGGAAAGCAGCTGGCCAGGCGGGGTGTGTATGTGTGTGTGTGTGTGTGTGTGGATGACAGGGAATGAAAACAGGAGAGGCCACCCAGGTGGAGAAACCACAGCCTGAGTTTGCAAGTTGTGTTGGACCACATGCACGGTTTAGGCCGGGGCAGCTGGGAAGGAAGAAGGCAAGCGGAATAGGCCAGGATTCAGAATTTAGGTCTGGGGTTGGTTGAACCGGGGTTAGATGAACCATCTAGAACAGCCCAGAATGAAGGAGTAAAGGTAAAAGATGCTTTCCAGGTATACGACTGCCAGGGATCTCCTAGGAACATAGAGTCATAAGGCTCTATGACCTCCAAGGAAGGGACCTTGGAGGTCATCTAGTCCAACCCCCTGCTCAGGCAGGAAACCCTTGTTCTAAACAACAAAATTAAGACTTTGGGGAAAGTGCAGAGAAGAGCAACTAAGATGATTGAAGCCCTGGAGGTCAAAACGTATGGAGGACAGTTGCAGGATTTGGGTTTGGCTAGTCTAGTGAAAAGAAGGACCAGTAGGACATAATAATAATAATAAAGTTGGAAGGGACCTTGGAGGTCATCAAGTCCAACCCCCTGCTCAGGCAGGAAACCCTATACCCTTTCAGACAAATGGCTGTCCAGTCTCTTCTTAAAAACCTCCAGTGTTGGAGCATTCACCGCTTCTGGAGGCAGGTTGTTCCACTGGTTAATTGTTCTCACTGTCAGGAAGTTTCTCCTTAGTTCTAGGTCGCTTCTCTCCTTGATAAGTTTCCACCTGTTGCTTCTTGTCCTGCCTCCAGGTGCTCTGGAGAACAGCTGGACCCCTTCCTCTTCTTTGGGGCAGCCCCTCAAATATTGGAAGACTGCTATCCTGTCACCCCTAGTCCTTCTTTTCATTAGACTAGACATACTCTGTTTCTGCGACTGTTAACAGAGTAACAGAATTGGAAGGGACCTCGGAGGTCATCTAGTCCAGACCCCTGCTCAGGCAGGAAACCCTGTACGGTTCCAGACAAATGGCTGTCCAGTCTCTTCTTAAAAACCTCCAATGATGGAGCATCCACAACTTCTGGAGGCAAGGAGTTCCACTGGCTAATTGTTCTCACTGTTAGGAAATTTCCTCCTTAGTTGTTAAGCGGATCTGGCTTCCTCTTTGACTTTTGCTGGTCAGAAGGTCGCAAAAGGGGGTCAGGTGACACACACACCCCGGGGACACTGCAACCGTCATAAATACGAGTCAGCGGCCAAGCGTCTGAATTTTGATCACGTGACCACGGGGAGGCTGCAACGCTCGTAAGTGAGAAAAAGGGTCCTAAATCGCTTTTTCCAGGTTGTAAGTCGAGGACGACCAGTTTGGTAAATAAAGGAATAAATAAATCAGCCTCTCCTTAGCGTGCTGGGTGCCAGCTTATCCCAAGCTGAAATTGCACAACCACACCTGTAGAGAAAAAAGGGGGCTGATGGGGACACTCCGTGCCCGGGGCCTTTTCCGTAGAAAACGGGAGAATTTTTGGCAAGATGTGAATGTTATTTTTTTTTCTTCTTCTTCTTCTTCTTCTTCTTCTTCTTCTTCTTCTTCTTCTTCTTCTTCTTCTTCTTCTTCTTCTTCTTCTTCTTCTTCTTCTTCTTNAGGAAGGAAGGAAGGAAGGAAGGAAAGAAGGAAAGAAGAAAGAAAGAAAGAAAAAGAAATGAGAGGAAGGAAGGAAACAGAAATGAGAAGAGAAGAGAACAACTAGGAAGGAAACGGAATGAGATGTGAATCGCCCGTTCTTATCGAACTAAATTCCTTTCCAGGCTGAACAGCTTTCTTCTCTGCCCCAGTTTATCACCTTTCACAAGGTCTCTCCAGCTGCCAGATGTGCTGACCGCCTCCAACCCGGCCTTCGCTGAGAGATACCCACTTCTCCGGACGTGAGCCAAGGCAGCAGCGTTGGTGATAAAACAGTCGCACATCTTCTAAGCCATGTGCCGAATTCCGTGGTGACCTTCATGAAAAGCAGCACCGAAGCACCCAAGCGGACTCAGAGATGGGATACTACACTGTCCGTGGTGGAGCCTGAGTTCAGAAATGCATCAGAACCGCAAGATCCCTCCAAAACAATCCGATTTCTTGCCCTTTTTATGGATCTTGCTTATTTGGTTTTCTGAGGTTCATTAGTTTCTTTTTACAAAGCACCCGAGGGCAGGGCCAGAAGCAACAACGGATGGAAACTCGTCAAGGAGAGAAGCAACCTGGAACTAAGGAGAAACTTCCTGACAGTGAGGACAATTAACCAGTGGAACTGCTTGCCACCAGAAGCTGTGAATGCTCCAACACTGGAGGTTTTCAAAAAGAGATTGGACAACCATTTGTCTGAAATGGTATTGGGGAAGGGGGTTGGACTAGAAGACCTCCTAGGTCCCAAGGTTCAACTCTGTTATTCTATCCTGTTGTGGTTCTTTGAGCTCACACAATAGGTGTGTCTTGAAAAGACTTCACCTTCCTTTCTGACTGACTGCTCTCGTGGATGCCTCTCATGGGCCAGCAATTCCCAGAATTCCTTAGTGTGTTTCAACTCCGACAACTTTAAGAGGGGTGACTTTAACTCCAAGAGTTCCTTACTCGGTGTCTCAATCTTGACAACTCTAAGAAGGGTGGACTTCGGATCCCAGAATTCCCTAGTTATTGTCTCTCAATCATGACACCATTAAGACAGGTGACTCCGTCTCCTAGAATTCCCTAGTCAGTGTCTCTCATCCTTGAGAACTTGAAGACAGATGGACTTCAACTCCCAGAATTCCTGAGTCAGTGTCTCTCATCCTTGACAACTTCAAGACAGGTGGACTTCAACTCCCAGAATTCCTGAGTCAGTGTCTCTCAACCTTAACAACTTCAAGACAGGTGGACTTCAACTCCCAGAATTCCTGAGTCAGTGTCTCTCATCCTTGACAACGTCAAGTCAGGTGGACTTCAACTCCCAGAGTTCCTCAATCAGTGTCTCTCAACCTTGACAACTTCAAGACAGGTGGACTTCAACTCCCAGAATTCCTGAGTCAGTGTCTCCCATACTTGACAACTTCAAGTCAGGTGGACTTCAATTCCCAGAGTTCCTAAGTCAGTGTCTCTCATCCTTGACAACTTCAAGAGAGGTGGACTTCAACTCCCAGAGTTCCTCAGTGTTTCTCATCCTTGACAACTTCAAGACAGGTAGACTTCAATTCCCAGAATTCCCCAGCCAGCTTGGCTGGCTGGAGAATTCTGGGAGTTGAAGTCCACTTATCTTGAAATTGCTAAGGAGGTTGAGAAACACTACTCCAGAGTGTTGAACCAAGTCAGCTGCTGGGATTTATAAAGTATTCCTTATGCCTTAGCTTAATAAGCTGTTGCTAAACCATAGCTTAGCATGATACACGTCATGTTCATTAAGATGGTAACCATTTCACAAGAGTGAAGATTTCTAAGCCGGCTTAATTTCATTTCTCTGACCACCTTCTTGACAGCTCTCTTCACCCTTCCCCGGCTAGATGGTGGTGACAACCCAAAACATCTGGAAGACACCCGAGTGTAGAAGGTGGCATTGTGCTGTTGTGAGATCTGCTTTTTGCTTGCACAATACAGGTGGTCCTCTAGTTACAACAGTTCGTTTAATGACCGTTCGGAGTTACAACGGCACTGAAAAAAGCGACTTAGGATTGTTTATCACACTTAGGACCTTTGTGACATCCCCAAGGGATCAAAATTCAGACGCTTGGCAACTGATTCATATTTATGATGGTCCGTGTGCCCCGGGATCCAAGGTTCGGCGCCCTTGTTATAAACCATGATTTGATCTTGGAGACGATTTGACCTTTCCTGAAATCTGCCAGGGCCACCTGTGATAAGAGACAATTTTAACCTTTCATCCTCTTTTATTTCTCTCATTTCCACCATCAGCAAATACCAAGACGACCGGAAAACCTGAAGAGCTGGTCTTGAAGGATAATTTCAGGGGTCATAAAAGCTGAAATGTTCTTCTGTTGCGTATGGATTAAAGGTATAAGGGTTAACATTTTAAAGTATTTTTAAGCTTTTATGTCCCAGGTTTATTTCCCCAGGGGAAAAAAAAGTCAGCCTAAAGGTGTGGGTGGGAAGTTTAAATGCTGGACAGCTTAAATGCAACTTGCAAAAAGAGTGATCTGGAAAATGGAGCAGAGCATGTGGTAATTGCAAAGCGGATTAGTTCCCATCAGAGAACAATTCAAGTTCTCAAGAATCCAGCTTCTCTGCAGAATAAATTAACTGGAGCAAAAGCAGGCCCTAATGAGCCCCATCTGTAAGTACAGATAGTCCTCAGCTTACGACAGGTCATTTAGTGACCGTTGAAAGGTACAACGGCACTGAAAACAAGTGACATGATATGAAAAGGGAGTTATGACCGTTTTTCACACTGGCAACCGTTGCAGCATCCCCATGGCTGCGTGATCAAAATTCAGGTGATTGGTGACAGATTCGAATTTATGACAGTTGCAGTGTCCTGGGGTCACGCAATCCCCTTCCGACATGCAAAGTTAGTGGGGAAATCCAGATCCACTTAACAGCCATCTCACTAAGGCAGTGGTTCGCTTAACAAGCGTGGCGAGAAAGGTCGTAAAACGGGGCAAAACTCACTGAGCAACCGTCTCACTTAGCGACACAAATTTTGGATTCCATCGTGGTCATAACTTGAGGACTCCCTGACATTTCCTCAACCTTTTGTCTCCGCGGAATACAGCTATTCCTCCACTTACAACCACAACGGAGCCTAAAATTTCCAGGCTAAGCCAGAAAGTTGTTAAGTGAGTTTTGCCCCGTTTTACGACCTTTTCTTGCCACGTCTGTTAAGTGAATCACTGCATTTGTTAAGTTAGTAACAGGGGTTGTTAATTGAAGCTGGCTTCCCCTTTGACTTTGCTTGCCCGAAGGTTGCAAAAGGAGACCATTCAAAGGTATAAAGGCGTAAAAAAAAGGTGACTTATGACCATTTTTCATACTTATGACCGTTGCAGCATCCCCATGGTCACGTAATCAAAATCCGGACACTTGGCAATTGACTCGTATTTATGACGGTTGCAGCGTCTCCCGGGGTCATGTGATCCCCTTTAGCGACTTTCTGACAAGCAAAGTCAAGGGGAAAACAGATTCACTTAACAACCGTGTTACTCGCTTAACGGCAAGGGATTCATTTAGCAACTGTGAGAAGAGAGGTCTTAAAAGGCGGCAAAAATTCATTTAACAACTTCCTTGCTTAGCAATGGAAATGTTGGTCTGAATTGTGTTATTAAGTCACGGACCACCTATATCCCGATGGCTGTTATACTGAAAAGTTTTTTAAAAAATTAAGGTGTGGGGAAGAGGGAGAAAAGAGAGAAAAAATAACAAAGCTACAGCTTAATCAGTGAAGCAATTAAGCAGGGATTTTCCTGGGCTTCCGATTAAGACTTTAACTGCTATTTACAGTTTCTTTGCAGTTAGCAGAAAAGCACCTAGGTTTTTTTATTATTATTATTGTGCAGGAAATTGGGTGGTCTCAGATGATCAGACTCACCTTTGCACGATCAGGAAAAGCCCCGGCAATTTTTGTTGGCAATGAAAAAGGGGAAATTTTTCCCAATTTTTTTTCTTTTTTCTTTTAGTCTTAAGGGTTCTCTTTTCACCTGCGCATGGCTAATTGCACGTGCCAGATGGGGCCTTTTTTCCCATACTATTATTGTGGTCGCGAGCGTCCTTCCTCTTTCACTTCTCTTAAATTGGGTTTCAATTAATAGCAACTTTCAGTTGCTCAGTTCCTGCTTGCTGAATAAATGTGCCTGCAAGAGTTTCAAAGGCCTGAGCTGCTTAAGGAAGCTTAGGCGTGGTGTTTCTCCACCTTGCCCACTGTAAGATGGACTTCAACTCCCAGAATTCCCCAGCCAGCTGTGCTGTAATTACATGAACGCTGACAAAAGCCAAGACTGTTTCACCCTGCATTCACACCACCCCGATGAAGATTTTTCCTTCAACCATTTTTCATGGTTCGGTCCAAGCCGGGAATAAACAACATGGCGATTGCTTTAGAAAGAAGGTTGCAGTTTATTGAAGAAGAGAAGCGGACAGAAAGATGGCTCTCCTCTTCAATAAACTTTCTAAAGCAGCCGCCATATTGTTTATTCCCGGCTTGGACTGAACCATGATGAAGATTTTTCCTTCAACCATTTTTCATCATGGTTCGGTCCAAGCCGGGAATAAACAACATGGCGATTGCTTTAGAAAGAAGGTTGCAGTTTATTGAAGAAGAGAAGCGGACAGAATGATGGCTCTCCTCTTCAATAAACTTTCTAAAGCAGTCGCTATGTTGTTTATTCCCGGCTTGGACTGAACCATGATGAAGATTTTTCCTTCAACAACCCGTTTATCCTAAGGAATTAATTTTGGGGGTTCCCCCAAGACGTCCTCAGTCAGAAACATATCAACCAGGCTGAGTTTGTTTTTGCACCACATGCTGAACGAGGAAAAAAAATCATAATAAGACTCGCCCAAAGCCAACTGAGCATGTGATACGAGTGCAGGGACTGAGTTTATGATTGACCTGGTTATACGTGCTGCGTGAACCAAACAGAGATATGCAATATTTGGATCCGAGGCACCTTTGTCCATTTTTTTTAATCCTAATATTGCACACTTCTCCGGCCGGCACGTATACGTCCATTTTCTCGTAAACAGCAGGCGCCAAGAGCTGTTTGTGACCCTCAGGGTTTCTGAGTAAATTTTCAGTGGGAGGGCTGGGTCCAAATATTTGGTTGCTTAGTGCAAACAAAGATTGGAAAAGCAGGCCCTGATGTGTAACCTTGTGGCGCCTTAATTGCGAGACCTTCGCGAGTCGCCTTGCCAAGAGTTTGTTTTAATGTGTGTGTGTGTGTGTTTTTCTCCCCCCAAAGTTGTTTCTCCTTGACCCTGTAAAGGGTGGGGGGATGATGTTGTTTTTCTGCTAGTTGGGCCTTCAGGTTTTTGTGTGTTTAGAACAGTGTTTCTCAACCTTGACAATTTTAAGGCATGTGGAATTCTGGGAGTTGAAGTCCACATGCCTTAAAATTGTCAAGGTTGAGAAACACTGGTTTAGAATAAGGGTGTCCAACTTTGGCAATTTTAAGATGTTGCGGACTTCAATTCCCAGAATTCCCCAGCCAGCATGGCTGGCTGGGGAATTCTGGGAGTTGGAGTCCACACATCTTATAATTGACAAGAAACTTTGTTGCACTTCCCATGGGGCTCCAGCTGGCTGGGAATTGTCCAACTTCTAATTTGATTGAGATTAAAAAGAAGGCAGCCATTAGAGACACCATGGGTCTTTTGCAATCAGGAATGTTTAATCACTGGCTCTTTAATTAATGGCAGCTCATTCCTCTGTTTGTGTGTCCCTCCCAGCTTTTAATTAATTAGTTACGTTTGGTTTTTGCAGCTGGTGAGGCATTTCATGTCTGCTTCTATAAAAACCCTTTTTTTAGACTAAAAAAAATGGTGTGTCGACATATTGAATGATCTCCCTCCCGCCTGGGAGTATTTCCCGCCTTTTTGCTTTTTGCTCCGCCCTCTTCCCCAACCGTCAAAGGCCTTCTCCCGCCCTCACCCGCCCTCTCCCGCCTCCTGATTGGCCGACTGGAATGCCAAACGAGACGAAACCGTCCTTTTTCGTGAAGGAGCCGTCTTTGGGCCTGAGGTGATTTCTATCCCGCCTTTCTCGCCTCATCTGGTTCCCTCCCACCTCAGACGCGCTGGAGCCGTGACCCACGTGTGTCCATGTCTCATTCTGACGTTATATTGCTGAACATGAGAATTAGATCTAATCTTCCCTCGTAGCGCCCCCTCCCATCGCCCACCCGTCAGCGAGACCGATAGGCCGGCAGGCTGCCAATCCTAATAGTCCCGCCCCCTACATATGGAAACCCCTCCCCGGGGGGGATTGGAGAAGGGGGCGCGGAGGCGCGAGCGGCGAAATGAGGCGCTCTGATTACCCCTCGGGGTGACCGATTGGCCGGCCGGCTGCCAATCCTAGCAGTCCCGCCCTCCGCGTGGAAGCTGCCGGCGGGTGGGGTGGGGTGGGGGGGTTGGAGAAGGGGGCGCGGAGGCTGCCGCCGCCAACCAGCGACGGGCGTTTGGCGCGAGCGGCCAAGGCGGCGCTCTGATTGGCCGGCGCTATCGCTTATAGGTGCGCGCCGCGGCGAGGTTCGCGTGCAGTTGAGGGAAGCGCTGTGGAGGGAGCCCCTCTCGCTTGCTTACGGGTGAGGTTACGCAAGGGCGGGGCCTGCGGGTTAGGGCGGGGCCTGCGGGTGTCACGTAGGCCGCCGAAGGAGCGCGCTGTCCTTCGCGGGGAAGAACCGGCCGGGGAAGGTGAAACACCTCGCGCGGAGGAGGAAGGGGGGGGGGGCAGGGAGGCTT